GGCCACGTTGCCTTGGATCAAAACTAGGCTTTGCAAATGACAGATCCCAAAGAATTTTAATTGCTGTAAGTGCAATAAAACTTTACAGCTAGACTGTTCTCACAGAATCTTGGAAAGATTTAGATGCAGACAAGGCTTTTTTACCCTCTGTCTTGGATAGCTTGTGAACTGAATAGCATCCACTGGCTGGCTGGTTTCTCTTGCTGTCGGAATGCAGTTGCTTTAAACAGAAAGCAAACTGAATCTACCTTTATGAATCACCCCTTGCTCTCTCTGAATTACACATAGTGAGACAGCTTTCAAAGAAAGAGCTTCAGTAACATGGAAAAAAAGCATGGATAGTGTTTTGCTCTGCCTGTGTGATAACAAAATTTGTATCATCAGCATTTTCTACCATGTCAGGAAGCAAACATAGTAACCTAAGGAACAAAATGATAGAAAAGGAATAAGAACTCTGATTTTTCCACCCGTTTTTGTTTTGATTTGTTGCTTTTCTCCATGTGTAATAAGATCAGCTTTTAAAGTGCTTTGAGATGCTTCACACTATACAACTAGAAATTATTTTAAGTTGTGTAAATCAGAAAGAGAAAGGCAATGAAATTCAAGAGAAAAATAATTTAGTTTTATAAAATTGTAGTTGGCATTCAGATTCAAAGACTTAGCAGTCCAAGTAGCCAAAAGCCAATCAAGTCAAGAAAAAAAATGCAAGCTCTTTAAAAGCAAAATTACTCATTTTTAAATGTGTAAATGTGTAGAAATGAGATTTTTAAATGTGTTTTGAATAGCATTGTATGATTTCCATTCTCAGTCCAACTGTAAGGTACTGAATTCAGCTCAGGGGATGCAGTTCAGACTTCATGATTTGTCTTAAGTGGGAATTTAGGGTAGATGATAGTCTTCTGTCAATGATATCTGTTAATGTAATAAAGAAACCTAAATTAAACCTCCATCTTCAAGGTTTTCATGCTTTAAAAATGGAAATCTGGTTTCTTTGTTCCTGGACATAAGCAATCTCCTCTAATAGGCTTCTTGGATCTCTTTTTTTTTTTTTTTTTTTTTTTTTGGGTCAAGTCTACTCTTTCTTCACTTGCAGCCAAGAAGTGAAAGGAGAAGGAAAGCTTCTAATGACATAAAACTTTTATTTCACCACTTTCAAAAGTAGGCCTTCTTTTCTGCCAGCTTTTACTCACATTTAAATGAACTTTCTTGCCATAATATTATAAATCTATCACGGGTGTAATTACTGTTTATCCAGTACTACAGCTATGAGTGGGTGGGTGGCAGTGACAGTTCTGCATTTTCCTTGAAGTTATTTCAGCATAACTCTACAAGACCTTTGAGAAGGTATGCTAATAATATTTTTGAATTTCTTTCATAGTAGAAAAAAAACCTTATGTGCTCCTTGGCCTACTGCTCAAAAATGCATTCAGAGAAGGAAAGACTATAAATATGCATTACATTTTAGAAGGAGCCTGTACCTTGATGCTTAACTTGCATGCCAATGAAGGCAGAAAATCTTTATTCAGAATAGTCACAACTTGGACTAGTTTTGTTCCCTGAACTCAAGTAATAATAAATGAAAAACCTAACCAGAACTGACAGATGATGCGCTATTTGATGACACACTGAAAACTTCCAACCTTTTCCTTCAGTTGTAAGGAGGGTAAGGAATAAAATAAGCTAAAAATGGCAAAGTCAGGACAGTATTGTCATTTGAGGGCTTGCTTCTGCACTGCTCTCCTTGAGCTATTKGCAACACCCTAATTGATCACAGAAGCTGCACTAAGAAGACTCACTGTTCGTAAACATACATTTCTCCTAACTGGAGGTGGTAAAGTTTTGCATTCTTTGATTATAACTAGAGTGCTTAATCGAACTCTGGTTCATACTATGTGTGTTCACATCAACTTTACCAACAACTATAAAAATATTTAAAATTATTTAAATAATACATTTATTTAAAATAGACCGTAAAATCCAATTGCAATCTTATTTTCAGGCTAGGTAAGATCACTACAAATACAACTATTTCAGATAACCTATGAGAGAAAAGGTTCTTTAAAAAATGAAGGGTTCATTTAAAAATCCATGAATCATAACAATGTAGTTAACCGTGCTTCAACAGGTTTGCTGCCATCACGAGTGCAGGCAGATCAAGTAATCCTCTAAATAGGAGATGTTTGATCTCTCCTTAATCCCTGATTGGTGCAAGTGTATCTTTAGTGTACTTCACCTACTTCAGCTGTTCAACAGATGGGGCATTTCCCTACTGGAAAATACTTCAATTTCAACCTAAAACTCCAGCACTATTTTGCTACCCCAACGTGGTTCTATTCTTTTACATACCACTACTAGACATAGCAATAACTAGAAGAGCCAGGTGGTAGCTTTTTTCATCTTCCTAAATCTGCAATTATTACTGTATTACTAACCAGTTCACTAAAGAGGATGGAGCCAAACTCTTCTCAGTAGTGGCCAGTGATAGGACAAAGGGCAGTGAAATCAATTGAAACACAGGCAGATCCATCTCCATGTGAGGAGGAACTTCTTTGCTGTGAGGGTGCCAGAGCCCTGGCACAGGCTGCCCAGRGWGGCTGTGGAGTCTCCTTCTCTGGAGATCTTCCCAACCYGCCTGGATGCCRCCCTGTKCCCCRTGCTCKGGGTGTCSCTGCTGGAGCAGTGGGGGCGTTGGACTAAAGGTCCCTTCCAACCTCAGCCATTCTCTAAGTCTGTGATTTTATAATGGGGCTCAACCTGTAAGTCCATTTGGGTTCCAGTTCAACCAGCTGTGGCAAAAAAAAAAAGAAAAGAAAAAAAAAA